AGAGGAGCCCTTTCCGCTGGAGGAGCCAGTGACAGAGGAGCCCTTTCCGCTGGAGGAGCCAGTGACAGAGGAGCCCTTTCCGCTGGAGGAGCCAGTGACAGAGCCCATCACTGAGCCTTTCCCGACGGAGGAGCCCATCACAGTAACGACAGAGTCCATTCCAACGGAAGTGCCTGTCACAATGCCTTCCACCACGGTCATAACCACTTCCACCCCAGCTACAGAGCTTACACCAACCAACAACTTGACAATGGGCAACTACACCATTGCAAGAGGGGGTGGCTCGTGTGTCAAGGCTCAGATGGCCCTAAGAATACGAATTGCCTACAGCACAGTCTATAGGAACAAGGTATGCAAGTGACCTTCATGCTGCCTAGATTCCTGTTTGAAGCTTAAGGGTTCCAAGCTTCACTGTACTTGACATTTTTATTCTTGCAGTCAGTGTTTGTTTTAAATCGGCTGCATTTTCGTTTTGGTGGTCCTGGGCATAGGCTGAATTTGAGTTGTAGTTCTAGTTTTCTTGGTGTCTCCCTCAGTCTAATGGTACCTTCATCATCCAACCTGGTGAGACTGTCGCTACGGGAGGCTGCAGCAACTCCACGGCAACACTGCACCTCAAGTTTGAGGAAGGAGTGGTTTTCTTTCGTTTCCAGAAAGTAAGCTTGGCTTCTCGTTTTCATGACTGTTCAATTCAATGTTTAGTGACACTTCAGTCACTCCATAATTCAATTAATGGAACAGACAATGTCTAACAAGCATTTCCATTTTGTTGCTAATGTCTGTGCCCTCGTTCTCTCTAGAACGTGACCCTTGGTTTAGTCTACGTCAGCACTGTTGCCTTTGAGCTCACTTACCCTTTCGTCGATGCAGGTAACTTTTTAGGCAGTAGTGCATTATGATGATTCACGCCTGCCTGATAGCTTGTGTGCAGCTGCACTCTGAAGCTGCTTGAACTTTTAGAATTTTTGGACCTTCAAGGTGTGTGCATGACGTAAGCTGAAAAGAATTTTTCTTAATGTGTACAGCATGGATCGAAGCTATTGGCCAATAAGACTAACACTAACACTATTAGATCCTGAACAGGGAACCTATAGAGCCAAGAATGAGTCTCTGCAGATGTTCAGTGCGGCAGTACACCATTCCTACGCCTGCAGCAGCCAGTCCGTGTCAATGGGACCTGGGCTCTATCTGGATGTGAGCCAAATAAAGATGCAGGCCTTGGAATTTGACGGCAATGAATTTGGCCCTGGTATGAAGATCCTGCCCATTACTCAAACCTGAATTCTAGTACATTATTTCACTGATGGGTTAAATTCTCAGTCCTTCAGTAAATGTGTTGGCATAGTTTTGGGTCTTTGTTGAATGAATTAAGTGTTCCTCCCTAGTCTCCAAGTAAGGAATTGATGTTAACCAATATTTGCATGCTTCCAGTCTGAGGTAGCCTTCCTGAAGGTCTTGTATTCCTAGCAAATCTAAGCATATTCTCTCAAGTTACTTTAGACAAGTCTTGGCTTTGAATGAAAAGCAGTTTTTCTGACCCTTTGCATCCATTTCCTCCCAATACAGAGGACCTCTGTCCTGGAGACAGGGACCACCAAATCGCTCTGGTGGTAGGCGTCCTTGCACTTGTCGTCGTGGTGATTGTCATAGCGGTCTGTGTCCTCTGGAGGAGGAGGAGACTGGATGGATACCAACCCCTCTGAAAACCCTGGATCCTCCACACAGTGACCTCTTCCCTGTGTCTAATTCTGGACCTCTGCCTTGTTTTGCAGTCATAGGCATCTACTGCTAATCCCTTGTCTGCTTTTACACTTTCAGCTTTGCTTTTACTGTACTGCTTGTGCCTTAGTGCCATTTTTGAAGTTGTTGCTCTTTCAGGGCCTGGTAATTCAATGAAGGTTCTTGGTCCTTCAGAGGTTACTCTGTATTACCCATAATTCATCTAGTGTAAACTGAGGATTGCTGTTCCTTGGGTGCAAATTTGATCTTGTATGGCATAATGTGAATATTTGAGTGCTTAAGGCTTTATATCTGGGAATGAAATCCTCTAAGCTGTGTCCATAGTCATTTTTTTTGATCCTTTCCAGGACTGGATGTAACATGTATGGAATAAAGGTCTCTCTTGGTAAAATCAGCGCATAAGCACAGCTGCTGCTGGTTCAACTCGCCTAATGGAAATAAACATTGAATGGTGGAGTAACTTGTGTCCATTGACTTCACTTCCACTTTATTTGATGTATATGAAAATGTATTTGTCTCGGAAGTTTAAGACATGTGAAGCAGTACCTCGCCGAAACTAAACCTTTCATATTGAATCTTATGGCAATGTATCATTGACCATTTGTGAGTGTGGCCGTTCAAAAATGTCTGACACTCACACCCTCTTTTCAGAAAGGGTAGATCTGTTAATCCATTGTTTATCCTAAGCATCACCTCACCAGGTTAATTGGGCTACGTTGAATCGAAATTGGCAACCAATGGAAAATGTTTAGGATTAGTGTAATGAATAACACGACTTAAAATGTATCAGTACCTACACACAATGTTCTCAGGGTACTACGAGATTTTTTTTTTATACACGCTAGACACTAGTCGTAGATGGTAGAATGCGCCCAGCTTTATGTACGATTCTCGGTGACTAGACTAAGCTAAATGAATAGTTCCGAACCGACCTATAACACTTGTTCCTATTCAGTGAAACGTTAATGCGGGATTATTTTGGGCTTGTGTGAAAATGTTCCCGCGAAAGCTTTCCTTGTGAGCAGCTCATGTCTTTATACGGGCAAAGGGAGAGTGCGCTGATTATCTTCTGTTAACGCGCACTCGCCTCTGATTGGCTCAGACCGACGGCGCACGTGGCGTTCGAAGAGAAAAGAAACCTCTCTATTTGCGGTATTACCTGCTGGAAGCGCACGCGTACCTTTTGACGATCGAACATCTTACAGTAAAGTCCAGTAATTAAAAAATAACTACTGATGAGCGTAAAAGGGGTGGGGCTTATATGAAGCAAGTTATGTGGTGGAACATTAACCGTTTAGATGCCCCAAAGCAGGACAATCACTTCGTACTGCCGAATATTCTGTCTCCGCTTCCCACGTTTTAATTATTGTCCTCCATGCTGCACGTTTCAAGACGGAAAGGGTGTGCACTGCTGACTAACCATAACGCTGTTCTGGAGGGGAGACTGGAGCAAGAGCGACTGAGAGGGAGTGAAAGAGAAAGAAAGGAAGGCAAATAAGAGGTAAAGCGACGGGGAGGGGGGTCGGCGTTTCGTCATGCGGTTCTTAAAATGGATTAGATAAGGTTGAGATTATAGGTAGGTATGATTGTCTATTAGGTCTAGGAAGCGGTAACATGGATCCGTTTTTTGTGTATTAGATGTAATTTACGATGCGTTGTCACATAACCTGTCAAATGCATTCATAGAGCCACAGGGACGTGTAGTGTAGTGGAACATTATGTTACACTTAAGTTTGGGCGGTTCAAGGTGATGCAGTTGTTTTCAGCGCGAGTTTACATCTGTTTAATCGTGATTTGTATCTGTGTTTGCAAGTATGACCACCCCCACCCTGTACACAGTTGATTTTTGCATAACTTAAGACCCAGAGCGTGAGTGCTCTCTTTGCCAGCACAGGCTAGAATCGTCGCAGTGGCTGTTGCTAGGCAACCTATTCTCCGTTACTACACTCCCTAATGAGGGTTTCTGAAGAAGTGGCCAGGTGGCACATACCATCACTGTACTTTTTACAGGGGTGTAAAATGGAAGTTGATTTTCCAGCATAAGTACCCACATGCTGATTTGGAACGTGGCACTTATTTTGACCTTGTGCTGGAACCTGAGATTAGGTACACATTGTTCTGTGTCAGTCAGAATTCATATCCACTGTCCAACCAACAGTGCATAAAGTGGGATGCACTATTTCTCGTTCATCAAGTAGGGAGGATAGGAAATGCTTGCACAATTGGTCTGATCACTTTCATCCCACTGGGTTTCGCGTGAGATATTAGGGTACCGTGTGCATACGTGCAGGCAACACCTGCGTTATCTATCCAATGACATCATTTCCTGTTGCGTTTTCAGGCCAGATTGCCTAGAGGGCCTGAGACGGTGGGTTAATTTTTGTCCTGTATCATTCCAATGGAACGTTATATTCTGATAAAGTTGTATAGTTGTATTAGGTTACAGTTAACAAAAACTATGAAATTTATTTTGACTGTTGAAGTATCAAATGGTGCATTGAAATATATGTCGGATAAACCCGGATTAAATTATATAATATGCTGATCGTATTTACGAACTGATTGACCCTCGGAACTGTAGTTTGAACAGTGTTCCACAGTTTAACAATACTTGTTTAAGGTGCAGTTGCCCAAATGAGTCGTCATTTGAATCTTTTCCCCTGTGTTTCTGACACAGAGCATCGTTAACCCATCAGTTAAGCAAAATACTAATTGAAACCGAACAGTCTAAGTGGCTGTGATTGTCCAGGGAACAATAGCAGCCTTCTTCATTTTTTTAAAGCACAGCCGCATCCCCTTGAACCCAAAGCTAAACCTTAAGTAGATGTTTTCAATATGTACTGTTGCTGTAAAGGAACAAAAACGACCCCATAATTGTCCCATATGAGAAATGTGCAAGTTTTTTCATGAATCGAAGCATATATGTTTTAACCAACACAAATAAAAAGTGACGTGACGTTTGATTATTTGGTTCCGCGGGTTTTCTCTTCTAAGATACCGTTATGAATATAAATAAAGTAGGAATTGCAAATAGATTGCTACGGTAATATATAATGCCTAAGCTTCAAAAAAATATTTAGGTGGTGATTTGGGGGGGGGGGTATTTGTGGCAAATCCACAATCATGGGTCAAGCAACACAGATATTCGATCATTTAAATATATCGTTTGGTTGGAGCATGGGTGGTATGAAGTTTTTAAACATAATCAAGACAGATTACTTAGGCAACTATTTACCACGGTGCAATAGTTACAAATAAAACTTGGGGAAAACCTACTTTTTGTTACTAAACGTATAAATATTGAAGAAATCAGATAACACCTGAACAGTCATGTATTTCATCTGAAAGTCTGTGACAGTCACGTGACGAACGAGACGGGCTCACTTTCCAGCTGAGCAGGGCGCGAAAAAATATCGAGCACATATTTGGATTACACCCCATGTTTTATTTAAGAAATTGAAATTATATTTTGTATTTACGTTAGATCTTTAATATAACATACATTTTTAAACATGTCCTGAATTATCCTCAAACCAATTTGTACTGATTATTTATCAACCCCCCCTCATGAATGCTGTGACCACTGGAGGACTGATAAACAATGGTACAGTCTCACTTAATGGGTGTGGTTGAATTGTGCGTATGAGGATCTGCGTTTAAACTCGGCGCATTATAATGGTGATCGCTTAGGACTTGTGGCTGTGTGTGTTTTCTGATATATTACAGCGTATGAGGATGTATTCATAACTAAATTCCTGTGTTGTTTTTTTTGCTATTGTTGCACCAATGGACGGGTCTTATATACCTCTGCCAAGACCTGTGTGATTGTACTTTCCGCTTTTGCAGTCATCGCTTTGCAACCGGAGTGCGAACCATTTTTAGTTTTTTTTTTTTTATAAAATAATTGGATTTTGGACGAGGTGGAGACGGACATAGCGAAGCGGGGGTAGGGAAGAGGGGGAAGAAGCGACTGTCTAAGGGTGAGGGAAGGAACAGAGGGATTGTTAAAAACAAACAGAAGACCAAGCCACCGATCATTTTAAGCTTTAAGGGCTTGTTTTAGGATAGTTTTCTGCGGTTGAACTAATCCGTTGGGCATCTCCGCATGTTCACATGCAACGTTCCCAAAGAACTGTCTTTTCAGCCCCCAGAATCAGTCGGAATTAAAAGAAAGAAAGAAATCCTGGGAGAAAAAAACGGGATTACAAAAGAAACGAGAACAGTGGAGAACTCGTATGTTGAAGAGGCCATATGAAAAAATATTTTGCAGCAATACATTTTTAAATTTGCGCTGTCTTTTTTTGTTACCTGATAACTCAATAACCAGGATAAGAAAGTGAAAGCAAACTGCTCAGAAGTCTGTCTGCATTTGCTTTTTTGAAGACCGAGAAAAAGGTTAGTTTTTTTCCCCTAAATGACAAAAATCTACCAAGACTTAAGGCTCGTCCAGCTCACAGGCTCCCTGTAGGGCCGTTTATGAAGCTTTCGCCTAAATACGTAAATATGGAGCCTTAGAATAAACCACACGGTCTCAGGGCGGTGAAAATGTAACCTATACATTTATGCAAATTCAATAACGTGACATTTCCCACACTGCACAGAAAAGTGGTTTGTGGCATGATCTTACCAAACAGTCTGTCGTCTTATGCACCGTAAAGTACTGCAGAGCGCCACATCATATTTGTCTATAAATTATTGCTAATCAATTTGTGACAACAATGAGAACACTATCTCGCCGGGGGAAATTCTTAGACACATAGTAATACGTTGCATCCATATGCTGACGGGTTATACGGATGCACCGGATTCTGTACTTGTCAGTGTTTTATAATTGATGTCACGCTGCAGAAAATAGGAGCGTGCAGCTTAGGGTGGGTGCTGTACTGTTGATGTGCTGTTGCTCTTGGGAAAAGAAGCGGAAATGGGAACCGTGTGCATGCAACTTGTGGTCCCGGATAGACGCCTTGGATTACCGGCATGTTACAATTCGTGGAGGCGGCTTTGCAGCCCAAACCCAAGCCCCAGGCCTCTCAAATGATCTTATTGTGCGGCTGCACGCCATGTTAAATGGATACGTGTTGGTATAATGAAAAGATTGAAGTCACGTTTCACAACTACGCTTTGATGGCTGTGCCTGGATCCGCGTGTCGATATGTCGGAATTTGGGGCCGGGATTGGCCCGGTATGCAGGGCTGGGTTGGCATATGGTGCATTTTCTCGGTGGGCCAGTGGGTATGTGTGTCGGCAAAAGTTGTCACTGGGCACCCCCCCGGTTGGCAAATTTCCCCGTGGGGACCCTAAAGTACAAGACCGATTTTTAATCTCAGTCTCCGCCATGTCACTATGAGACTGTAAGGGCCGTTTCGTGGATAAACTACTGTCACCGGCTGAATGCTGATCGTACCGGTAATGGCAACGAATCAGTAAGTCGGTTTATTCGCGGGTGGGGACTACTCACCAGTTTTAAAAAAAGAAAACTCATCAGTGTGGGCTACATTGCTTTGTGGGTTGCACAGGAAATTATATATTAAAAAGGCGCGTAGGAGAGGTTGAATCCTGTTTACGAAGCTATGGAGGCCAGCTGCAGATGTGCAGGAAGGAAGAGCCGCCGTGCTTTATCTGCTTAGGTGCGGATGTGTTACAGTAGCTGGGCTGGGGGGGTCGTGCTATTCCTCACCGATCACTTCTCTGGCTAAATATAGACTGCGGGAGGCTGTCCTGATGTCAGCACGTACGGTCAGTCCGCAAGAGCACCGTGCATTCATCGTCCTGTACCGTTTTGCTAAAATCTGGTGTTTTCTGCACACACCGGCCCTGCAAATATAGCTGGTTAGTGTGGTAAAACCCACAAATACTGTTTATTATGAAAAACGCCCCCACGTATTTGGGCGGTGGTATAATTCACGGGGAAATGTTTAAAGGTTGTTGTATTAAACTACAGCCCGTCGGAGTGGATTCCTGCTAGGATGTAGCCATCGGCCTCTGCTGGTTATTAGTTGATTCAGGGTCAACCTCGATGCTTCGGTTTTGTGATGATTTTGGGAACATACAGTGCCAATTGAGTCCCGTTTGATCTGACGATTAAAAGCGCAATCTTTGTACAGTGCTGAATTTTTTTCCCCCGAAAGACATTTTAATAGGCCTATGTGATTGCGTGATTACATGCCTTTAAGGCGGGTGGTCACATTAAATGTCGTTTCCTTGCATTGTTTCTCACTGGTAACGTTCTTCAAACAGCTACCCTATATCCAGAGGTCTACTTTATGACTGTATCAGTGTATGTTTCTATGTTACAAATACGAAGTAGCAGGCATCAGAAGCACTTTGTGATCCCAGAAGGTACTGTGATATTGTGGTTTTTTACCCTCTGCCTAATTGAGCAGCTGCACTATGAGACAGAGTTGAGCTAATTTCCCCCTGTCGCCCTCCATTAAGGTCCTGTGATCCGTCTGCTTGGAGCTTCCCCCGGGGAACGGGGATCCAGATAATTGCTTCCTGCAGTAGGAGGGGGTGATGCTTATGGGGACTTAAAAAAAGCGCAACACCTGTGACTCCCAATGAATTGCTAATTTAGTTGCAATATTATGTGTTAGTTTTAGGAGTAGACGGACATCTGTAGGGCCGGCTGTGGCTGTAGGCAGAATAGGCAGTCCCTTATCTTTGCCTAGGGCCCCTGAAAAGGCAGTTCTGGCCCCATTTTGATGTATATATTTCTGTACACCCTACCTGAGACAGAATGGAAATGATGGGGGGGAGGTCAGCTGGCAGAATGGGCCTCACATGCAAACCAAACCGCTTCTCGTTTGAATTACTGTTGAATTACTACTGGAATGCTCGCTGGCGCCCCCTGTCCCGCACTCACCGTAACGAGTAAATAAAAGGGTTGTTAGGAAGTACTGGGGTTTTCTGTTGGTGTTTGCTATGCAAAACTCTGCAGAGCAGACTCTGCGACCTGTGCGAGAATGTGAACCCTGAGCTGGGCTCCTTAATGCAGATCAGCCTGAGGCCACAGCACTCCTGCTCGACTTGTCTGGTCTGGACTGGTGTGTGTTATGGTGCGTTCGTGACATCACGTCCGACAATCTCCCGTTCGAGCTACTCACATCTCGGAACAAACATGGCTGCCTCCATGAACACGATGCTGTGTGTTGTTGCTTTATATTTTAGCAGGTTTGGAGTTTTCCAAATGGAGAAAATGGAGAAATGGAGATTTTTCCGAGAGACAAACAAGAAACACGAACTAGTCAAACCACATTAAAAGCTTTATAAAATATTTTAGTACATTCATAGCGATATTCTTTTTTCGAACGGTAAACAAACTACAAACAAACCAAGTCGCCATGTTGAAATTACGTCACAGGGGCAACTCGGACAACAAAATCTTGTCCGACTTCAACGTCATAAAAGGGCCGTGTTTCCGACGGGAAGTGATGTTTTTCGTGACGTATCGTGACGTTTTCATCCGAGTTCCGACTTGGAGAGAAATAATCGAACGCACCATTAGTCTCGGCAAGTTCAAGCTCTCAGTGCTGACCCCTGTGGGTTGTTATGAGACTAGCGCTCTTTTTGCTTATCAACTGTGCACATGCAGTATCAACTAGGCTTTACAAAAGTAGTAGAGGATGACTATAATTATGTCAGGTACTCTTGTCATCAGAGATGCTTTTGTAGTTAATTAGCATAATAAAGATATTTTGGTGTTAGGATTAGGCTAACTTGTTCTTTTCTGATGACAGCCAGCATGTACATGCACACACCCGTACTGGGCTGACTTTCTGCTATTGGTGTTAATCCTAATCTCATTCCCTCTTATCAAGTGCTTCTGCATTGCTGATTTTCTGTGGATGATATTTCTGCCTAGATTACATCAGATTAGGGATTACGTGGTGGATGGTTCAGGGTTATACTGGTTTATGCTTTATGTAAACATTTGGATTACGGAACTCGATCTGAGAAACACAAGTGGCTTTTAACAGAGAATGGAATCTGTATAGTGCGTGAGTGATGCTGTTTGCATTGTAAATTGCTGGTAAGTGTTTCTTTAAAGTCTGAAGGAAGTACAGAATGTCTCAAATACTAATACGTCAACATTTTTTTTTACGGGAGTTTCTGAAAGAAAAGATCTGCGTCCGCAGTACTGTTATCGCTAGTGTTGGAAAAAAAACCTCTGCGTTCACAGAGGCAAATGACGTAGCTATAAGAGTGATCGTTAAATGTATATATTTCTGACATTTTTCATCTTCACATTTAACCAAAGCTTTTTTTATCATATATTTTTAGAAGTGGTGCACTTTATATTTGTTGTAGCTCGAGCACAACGTGTGATTTAAGAACATAAGAACATAAGGAATTTACAAACAAGAGTGGCCCATTCGGCCCATCAAGCTCATTTGGGGAGAACTTAACTAATAGCTCAGAGTTGTTAAAATCTTATCTAGCTCTGATTTAAAGGAACCCAGGGTTTTAGCTTCCGCTACACTAGCAGGAAGACTATTCCATACTCTAACTACACGCTGTGTAAAGAATTGCTTCCTCAAATTTGTTTTAAAATGTTCTCCCGCTAATTTCCACTTATGGCCACGAGTTCTAGTATTTAAACTAATATTGAAATAGTCATTTGGCTGAACAGCATCCAGACCCGTTAGAATCTTATAGACCTGGATCATGTCCCCCCTTAGTCTCCATTGCTCAAGGCTAAACAGATTCAGCTCAGCTAACCTCTCCTCGTAAGACATTCCTCTAAGACCAGGAATCATTCTCATAGCCCTTCGTTGCACCTTTTCTAAGGCAGCAATGTCCTTCTTGAGGTACGGTGACCAAACCTGCACACAATATTCTAGGTGAGGTCTTACCAAGGAATTATATAAATGTAACATCACCTCCCTTGACTTAAACTCCCCACATCTAGAGATGTAACCCAACATTCTATTGGCCTTTTTTTATTGCTTCCCCACACTGGCGAGAGGGGGACATGGAAGCATCAACATACACACCGAAATCTTTCTCATAATCAGCTACCTTTATTTCAGTGGAACCCATAAAATATCTGTACTTTATATTTCTGCTCCCTGCATGGATTACCTTACATTTATCTGTGTTAAATTTCATCTGCTAAGTATCAGCCCAGTCGCTAATTAAATCCAGATCCCGTTGTAGCCTCTCTGCTGCTAGATCAGTATCTGCTGCACCACCCACCTTGGTGTCGTCTGCAAATTTAACCAGTTTACTGTATGTATTGGTGTCAATATCATTAATGTAAATTAGGAACAATAGTGGTCCTAAAATTGAACCCTGCGGTACCCCACTATGAACACAGGCCCACTGTGACATTGTGCCTCTAATAACTACTCGCTGCTTTTTGTCCAACCAAAATTTTTTATAATTTTAGAAGTGGCAAAGTATCTATTTTAAATCATTTATTTTGACTTTCAAGGTTCAAGGTCACTATATTGTCATCAGCAGCTTCATACATGTACAAAGAGTAATGAAACAACGTTTCTCCATGGCCCCGGTGCAACATATAGTAACATATAGTAACATATAGTAACATATAGTGCACTTAACATCACAGTAACAGGGTGTGCAAGGTGCAAACACGCAGTAAATAAATAGTTCAGAGATAATAAATTAAAAGTGCAGAGATGTAATAACTAGACTTTGATTACTAAGAAAGTTTTTTTTTAAATATTTGACTGTTGATTAATTTCACACACAACCAAGGTTTACAGTAAATGCACATTTTTTATTTAGCAAAAGCGAAATATCACAGTACTGCAGCGTCGCAAAAACACAAAGCCGTACATAAAAGGAACCATCACAGGAACAACACAGGGGTCCAGAAATGTAGTCACTACACGTCTCACTCTCTTCCCCTCAGTTTCAGCCACTCTCATGTTCGATGGCTGGGTGTCTTTATGATAAGCTAGAGCTGCACTTAAACTCGGCTCAGGTACAGTCTCGTTTTGGGCTCCACAATAGCTGAACAGCATGTAATGTACAGAAAACATGATATAGATGCGCACAAGTAAACAAAACACCATAGGCCAGGTAGCGAAAGCCCTGTACGTTGTCCATGTTCACATGTGGCTTCCTTCCGTGAAAATAAAGGTAAAGCGTTCTTTAGTCCCATGAAGAATAAACAATCAGGAAAAAAGACAACGAAACGAAGAGAGCTAATCAGGATTGGGTCACGAGCAAGTACGAACCAATCAGAGCTCACTGCTGTAGGCGTAACACAATCTTTATGTTTATGAGTGGCTGCACTAATGTGTTTACAGAAAGATTAGTTGCCGGAGAGCGGTGAAATTTTTCTGGGCAAGAAAAAAGATCCGTGGTAATGTGAACAGAAGGCAAAATAGGAAGGAAATTTTTGCGTTAGTAAACAAAAATGTATTAGTGCTGATTGGTTATCATTTAACTGTATTCCACTCCCAGCTCATCCAACCTTATTTTCCAGGTTGTTCATTGGCTGAGTTGCGTGGGATTGACAGGCAAAGTTCCCAATCGAGGATGAGCGAACTGGAGCAGCTGCGCCAGGAGGCCGAGCAACTGAGGAATCAGATAAGAGTAAGAGATTTGGGGCGGGAGGCTGTGAGCTGAGGCCTGGAGAATCCGGGTTCAAGCCCCACTGTGCAGTATGGACCCGGATGAAGCTGAACGCTGGTGTCAGGGACTGTATCTCTTGCTATTTTACAGGACGCCAGGAAAGCATGTGGAGACTCCACCCTGACCCAGGTACAGCCGCCACACTCTGTGAGCGTCTCGGGGCATCATGGTACAATGGCCTGCCCCCAGGGATCCGGCCGCATGCTCATCACTCTGGGTGTGTATGTGTGTCAGATAACAGCAGGCCTGGACCCTTTGGGCCGGATCCAGATGAGGACCCGCCGAACTCTGCGAGGTCACCTGGCCAAGATCTATGCCATGCACTGGGGCAACGACTCAAGGCGAGTTTTTCCTGTTTACCCCTGGGATGCCGGTGCTGGGTCACATCCTGTGTGCTAATCGCAGTACTATACTCTCTTAAACCTCAGTGTGTATGTTGATGCTTCCATGTCCCACTCTCGCCGGTGTGGGAGAGAGGTAAGGATCATGCACTGATACAGCACGTTGCCACACCCACCACATGACAAACCACCTCAAAGATGAGAACCTGAGCACAGCCATGTGGCAGGTGATACCTCAGCACCAAACTAGTCCGAATGGACCAGTGCGAGTTTTTTTTTCCAGTGGCTGGAGTGCCAGTCCTGCCACCAACCCCCAAGTTTTTCCCCTGTAAGTTGAAGGACCTCCTTATAGGATGTAGATTAACGTCATACCCAGGATGAAGCAATTGCAGGTTAAGGGCCTTGCTCAAGGGCCCGACAGAGTAGAATCGTTCTGGGCATTCACAGGATTTGAACCAGCGACCTTCCAGTTACTGGCACAGAGCCTTAGCCTCAGAGCCACCACTCCGTCAATAGGATGTTGGGTTACATCTCTAGGTGTGTGGAGTTTAAGTCAAGGGAGGTGATGCTATGATTATACAATTCCTTGGTAAGACCCCACCTAGAATATTGTATGCAGGCTTGGTCACCATATCTTAAGATGATCATTGCTGCCTTCGAAAAGGTTCAATGTAGGGCTACAAGAATGATTCCTGGTCTTAGAGGAATGTCTTATGAGGGGAGGTTAGCTGAGCTGAATCTGTTCAGCCTCGAGCAAAGGAGACTAAGGGGGGGACATGATCCAGGTATATAAGATTCTAACAGGTCTGGATGCTGTTCAGCCAAATAGTTACTTCAATATTAGTTTAAATACTACAACTCGTGGCCATAGCCTCTTACTGGGAGTTCTGGTTCCCAGTCTCCTGGATGATCATTCTCAGTGGAATGGCTTCCTCTCTCTCCACAGGCTACTTGTTAGTGCATCTCAGGATGGGAAACTGATTATCTGGGACAGCTACACCACCAACAAGGTAATTCCTCCCCAGCCAAGTGAAATAGCCCCCAAAGGCTGTAAGGTGTTAGTTTTGTGTATGTGGCCCTGTGTGCCCTCTGCTGTGTGTGTGTGTATTGATTTCTTTATCTATCTGTCCAACCGCATTTCACCATGCCTGTCTTTCCAGGTGCACGCCATCCCCCTGCGCTCCTCTTGGGTGATGACATGTGCGTACGCCCCCTCGGGGAACTTTGTGGCCTGCGGGGGGCTGGACAACATCTGCTCCATCTACAGCCTGAAGACCCGGGAGGGCAATGTGAGGGTCAGCAGAGAGCTGCCCGGCCATACAGGTACTCATGTGGTCACATGACAGTCACATGACAGTCACATGATTGGTCACATGAGTCTGATGACAGTCACAGGTTGCCCCTCAGCTGTGCATCAGCGTAGTCGCAGCATCTCTCATTTGCACACCCTGTGTGTCCTTTTCTGCACAAGAAAGGTGTGGATTTTTGTAGTTTTATATAAAATAGCTCCAGCAATAGTATGGGATTTTAAATTATAGTAAATGGACCTCCTTAGGTGTGTTTCATAAATCCTCCAGAACACTATCAGTGCACGACGAGTGTGATCTGTTAATCTGTATAAGTCCTGTTATCAGGTCAAACATCCCTTTTCTGTGAATGATATTGGGGTCGGGGGGGGACTTTGTCAGACTGGTGAGTTTTATTGAGACTGAGCAAATCCCTGGCTCCTCCGAGACGCCACCCCTCTGGATGTCATTTAATTAACTGCTAGTTAATTACAGGAGTGCCGTCGGTATCCATGGCTGAAAAGCCTCCCTGGCAATCTCCCACTTGGCTGCAGCCCTAAAATTTTGAGCCCTGGTGTTTGGTCCGTAGTGTGGAGAGAGAGAATATTAGTAACATGATGTCCCTCCATGGTCTTGCGAGTTGTGGGTGTGGCCACTTGTGGGTGTGGCCAGTCATGGGGGTGTGGTCACTGCACATCGGTGAATGCAGAGACTTTAAGAGATGCTGCAGCGTTTCTCTAGTGTCTGTCCTCTGCTGACGGCTCATTCTATGTGCTGCTCACCCCAGCAACTTCATCAACACAACAGAACAAGAGCTTCCTTCAGATAATCAGATTAATAAACAAGATTAACTGGTGGGAGGTGAAATCCAGCTGGCCAGTGTGTGTGTGTGCGTGCATGTGCGCGCAGCGCTGACCTCAGATCAGACGGTTCTTGGTCTGATGGTTCCTGGGTGTCTCTCTGTCGTAGGATACTTGTCCTGTTGCCGCTTCATCGACGACAATCAGATCATCACAAGTTCAGGAGACACGACCTGGTGAGTCACCTATGTCGTTTTTAAATATGGGCTGAAGTGCTGTTACCCGATGTTTTCCTTTTACCTAACACTTGATATCTTTATTCTTCAAATGAAATGCCCAGAAGTGCCTCTTTAGTCCCTCACGTAGCAGAACATAGAGATTGTTTTGATCCGCTCGCTCTGTCTGACCTTCGCTGTGGCACGCGCTCACCCCCCAGTGCATTGTGGGACATCGAGACAGGCCAGCAGACCACGGTGTTCTCGGGCCACAGCGGCGATGTCATGAGCCTGTCCCTGGCGCCGGACTCTCGCACCTTTGTGTCGGGTGCCTGCGACGCCTCCATTAAGCTGTGGGACGTGCGGGACAGCATGTGCAGGCAGACGTTCATCGGGCATGAGTCGGACATCAACGCTGTCTGCGTGAGTGCTGGGGGGGAGGGGGCACCAATGCTATAGCAGCTGAGCCTCCAGGTTACTCAAATCCTCGCTTGATTGGCGTGTGAAACGCATCTGTCCCTCCCTACTACCCTGTTTTAATGTTGTCATTCGTGGTACTCCACCTGTCGCTTCCTCTTCCACCTAACCAAGAGTTCTCCATCCTATTTCTCATCCAAACTCCATCTACCTGCAGGTTCTAAACTCATCTCTCTCTCTCTCCCCGGCTCAGTTCTTCCCCAATGGCAGTGCCTTCGCCACTGGCTCTGACGACGCCACCTGCCGGCTCTTCGACCTGCGGGCCGACCAGGAGCTCAGCCTCTACTCCCACGACAACATCATCTGCGGCATCACCTCCGTGGCCTTCTCCCGCTCGGGCCGCCTGCTGCTGGCCGGATACGACGACTTCAACTGCAACATCTGGGACTCGATGAAGGGCGACCGAGCAGGTGGGCAGCAGGGGGAGCTATAGAGCACTTTGTCGTTTTGGACTGATATTAATTGATTACGAGAGGTGGAGGCAGAAAATAACCCCCCACCCCCCACAGGAGTGCTGGCCGGCCACGATAACCGCGTGAGCTGTCTAGGCGTGACGGACGACGGCATGGCGGTCTCCACCGGCTCCTGGGACAGCTTCCTCAAGATCTGGAACTGAGAAGGAGCAGCGGCAGGCGGCCACACACATGCATGTAACATACAGAGTGCACGGCCCCACAAACGCACTGTACATACGATTAAAGACACACGGGCTGCGGCCGTGCAGCTGGCTGTACATAGATACACGCGCTGAGGGGAACGGTAGAATATGGAAGGCATTTGGCGCCCCCTACAGTCACACATACACACGCATGTACCATAAGCCAAATCCATACCTGCGTGTGTATGTGAGAGACATGTGTATGTAACCCTACCGCCTGCACAATGTCCCCCTTTCTGCGAAAATAGAATCCAGTACAGCATGCAGGGGGGGGGGCACAATTCTGGGACTTTTAACCTCCACATGCTCTCCCTTTCTGTGATGCTGCGTTTCTTCAATTTGGGTAATAAAGAGGGTGGTGTAGCTAACCTACACGAGCCAGGGTCCGAATGGCTCAAACGACGGCTGACCAATGGCAGTGCAGGAAGCAGGGTCATGTGACTCAACTTGCTGTTCTCTCTTAATGGGTTCTAACCTGTTTGTATATATACACATGTATACACACAAGTCAATGTTAGTTTTTGTTTCAATGTTTTTTTTCCAATTTTATATGCTATATTTTTCCTGTGTGCCTCAATACTTTCAAAGGATTATTAAGTACTAATATTGAACTCATATGGCTGAAAGCAGTGAAAGGCGCTGAAAAGGGGAATTAGATTAATGTTATGAAAATGATACAGCAGAAGAGTGGCTGTCTTCACGTTGTTGGTGTGGTATGTCTGCATTATAATGGTATACATTGTACATAATAAATATCCATAAATACCCAACATCGTTGGCCTGACCCTTGACCCAGTTCAGCATTTCTGACTCAGCATAAATGCCGTCATGATTTGGAGTTCCGCCTTTTGCCGTCAGACGTTTGACTTGAACCTCACGCTTTCAAAATGACACAAATACAAGCAGATGACAGATATCAATATATTTATTTGTTTTGCATAAAGACTTTACAGACTCGGGCTCTCTGTCAACACAACCTTAAGACTCCATCTCCTAAGTGTCGAATACGCAAGTTCCGGAAATAGGTGTGGCCCATCCTGAAATGGACGTAGTCTAAAAAAGAATTTCGTCAGAATTAAGCAAGAGAATCATTAAAAATCATACGCAGATTGTAAAACCTAAATACAGATAAAACTTCATTTTGTAACAAGCTCTGTCTGATCTTCAGCGCCAAAGGCCAACTGTCGACCAAGCCCCACGAACGAATCGCATAAAAAAAAAATGACACCATATTACGATACTAATTTCTAGAATGCAAAATAACTGCTTAAAATGCACACTCGTAGTAATCAGGCTAAACTGACTTAAGAGTTTGTTAAAAAAAATAAAAAAAGCTGAAACACGGACAGCAGAAAATAATAATAAAAAAACTGATTAAATAAATTGTGAAACAGGCCTTGGGGGACAGTGCTTAATGAGCATCTAACGAGTTAGCGGACATTCAGAGAGAAGGCGGGGCTGCAGCCCCGGCCCCGCCCCCTCCACAGACACTGCAGCAAATACAATGAGACAAATGCCGTCAGTCAGGAATTATCTACTTTCAGACAGATCTGCTCTCGTTTTCATCCTGTACAATCACAGCCGGTGGCCGAACCCGTTCACCACCTTAATCTATCAAAAATTGAGAGAACTCTTTACATCCTCCACCCCGCCACACAGGACAGTACAACGTGCGATTTTTTTAAAACACAGGCTGGCATACGTTTTAAACGTTATAAGCAGTTCTGTTTCAAACTACAGAAGAGATGCTGAAGAGCCGGACTTGTGAGTTATACAAGAAGTAGAAGCCTGTTAACCAATTGCTGCAGAAATACACCCATTTACCTGCTCTTCATGAGGGCGGCAAATCAACTAACCGGCCAATCAACCGACGGATCTCAGACTGCTCTACATGAGCCACTCAGAGGATAGCGTCCTAGGTCGGCTGCCTGTGTCACTTAATTGGTTGACCAGCCCTGGACATGGCTGTACGCGCAGGGACACACGAGAGGTCGTGTATCATCAAAACTCAAGAACAAACAGTTTTGGCACTTATTAAAGCAGAAAAACACCATAATTTGTACACATGTAGTTTAATTCCTGCTACTTCATTAAAACTTTTTCATAGACTATGGATATAAAATACTCGGAATATGGTATTTAATCCACCCACATAAAGCTCATGTTAAATCTCAACACCCTTCTCCCCCCCCCCTTCTCTCTGGTCGCCAACGACTCACATCCATGTCATATAATAAATCACATATTAAAGCCTTTCAGCACATCTTGTGCATGAACCACACTCACTTTCATTGTCTCTCGCGTCAAGGTGCAAATCACGAACCTCTGGACACGCCCTCCTCGCCTCATTGGGCTAAAACTGTCTCCATCAGCATTTACCAATAATGCCGCCTGGGTGCAGCGTTACAGAAAAGTCCATTTAGGCAGGAGGGGAGGCCAGAGTTGGTATGTTCTGGTCTGAGCAGGGATGGTATGTCCCAGCTCGCAACTACCATCTACCGACACCAGCGAACCCCCCATTCTGGAAGGTGGAATGCACACAGCACCATGACCATCGATATAGCGGGGAGTTTACCAAGAGTTCTTAAAATGCATGTCCAGACTAGCCCCAAAACATGTTTACGTAACTGTGGAATGACAGATAAGAAACAAATGCGTAAAAAAGGAATTACACACTGAGCTGAGATTAAAATAGATTTTCTACACGCGTGTTCTTTCCACCTCCTATGTTACAATAAGCAAATTTACTCCGATACCTGGTGTTGTGCACTCAATAACCTGAAGCCTGAAGAAATTTGTAATAAAAGAGCACGACAATTAAGCTTTTTAAACCAATAATTTTTTAAATGTTTAAAAGAATTATGAATTACCCACCATTCACCAGTTGAAGTGCACTTCACTGCAGAAAAGAAATTGAGGAGTTGGTGACCTCTAGTGGTGGACCCCAGAAGTGCCACTTCTCACTCCCCATCCTCCCCTCACTCCAAGGCACTATATAGACCGCATCCCTGTCAGAGTCTAACTTAACGCACATAAACACATTTTGGATTTAGTCTCAGCCGGGACCCCGAAGTGCTGCGTGACACCCGAAAGACGTTTGACGTCCGTGCCGGAGTCGCGCGTGGCGATCTGCCGGTCAACGCGCTTCCCGTCTACATGCGATCTGATCATAGGAGGCGCGGATCCGTGTGCTGTTTAATTACGATACAAATATATAATGTGGAGCACGCCTATGAAAAAGTAAAACTTGACTGCAGGGCCGTCATGGACACTGCGCATATGAAATTTAAGGATGCTTTTCTAAAAAAAAAAAAACTTATCCTAAATTAATGTTTAATCCCAGTACACTCCTATGATGTACTGACATTAATGAATAACATACGGTTGAGCTATTTAAAACTGACTTTGGGTTATACAAAAAGTTAGGGGGAAAAAAGACAATGTTTACAACCAGTTCTGTGCTGTTTAGAGACATAGGCACCTGTCTGATTCATTATACTAAACTTCATATTAGAAAAGACGCCACAAGGGAACACGAGTGGATTGTCAAATGATATTTTACCACATTCAACCATTATTATATTATTAATCTGGATGTATAATCAAGTTAAGTATTTTGATTAGCGTTAAATAATTAAAAAGGGGGTAAACACCGCCTTAGACATTCCGACGCCGCACTGTAAAAGTCACTGCACTCCTGCACTGCTTCAGGCCACCTTGTCATCTGTAGCTTAAAAAGTCACTGGCTAGTCAGCATAGAGTCAATGCTGGCTCAGGAACCACATAAATATTGCTCTTCTGTCCCACCACACCCAAACCAAACCAGCCCCCCCCCCCCCCCCCCCCCCCCCCCACCCCCCCACCCCCCCCCCCCCCCCCATGGGAAAACTGGGAGGTACCAACACCTCCCTTTTTAAAGACAACAGACAGGAAACGCTGGATCTGTACAGCAGGATAAAGTGACAGCGAGTACCTCTGTAATCAAGAACAAAAGAGGAGAAAGACAGTTGTTAAATGCAAGATTTAAGCAAAAAGGAGTTGAAAACGGATACGCCGTCCTGCGCAAAGCTGTCAGGGATGCTGCATCAATCTGTGCTCAGATCAGCTCCCAGCCCCTCCCCTGAGAAGAAGCAGCCATATACCGAAGGCAGCGGTGAGAGCTCCAGCATTCTGCCCCAGTCTATGGCTTCCCAGGGAAGCAGGACATCGTAACGAAACGGCGACTCCTGTCAGAGGGCGTTTCCCTGCTTAAAACACAGAATTGTATCATTTTCTTGCAGTGTGCAGATCATCCACGCGCCTGTCCACCCTGCCAAACAGAGTGATGCTCTCACGCTCCACTAGGGGGCACCATTACAGTGCATGTTAGGCCTAGAAGCAATTATGTACAGGAAAGGTCCGAAATCCACATTCCTGGCTCCCTTCCTCCTCTTCCTCCTCCTCACGGTGATCCGATACAGCGCAGCTCCCCCACTGGTGTGTGTCACATGACACTGCACCTATATACACTATATACATTCATTTTTTAATTATGCTCCCCATTCAGTGTCACCCCCCCCCCCCCCCCCCAACAGCACCCCAATATATTCCAAAGTGAGACAGGGGTGGCTGTGCTGCAATCAGAGGTCGGCAAAGGCCACAAGGGCGGGTGGTGAACAGCAGGAGCCGAACCCCGGAGACCGGTGTGACTGGGCAGCAGGGGGTGGGGACTGGGGGGGGTGGGATGCAAAAATGCATGGTGGGGGTGGGGTTAACAGCTTCCTGTGCTTCACCAGTTCATGATGCAGTTCCTGTTCAGGGTCATGAAGTAAACCTGACTGCTGCCGCCGGAGCGGACGGACGCGAAGAACACCTGTGTGGAGAGAGAGGTGGAGAGGGAGATTTTACTAATTGATCCGCTTCAGGCAAAGCAAAACAGCCTGTTGCTGTGGATCAAATTTTATCTGCTTTTCCTGTCCTGGGAGGCTAGACGGGAGGGACATTCCACACTGATCCTGACGCAGGCATGTGGCCCTGTGCTTAACCCTGTGCGTAACCCTGTGCATGACCCCGGCACAGGCACGCCAGCGCGTCACGCCCGGGACTCACCTTGTCGTTCCGTTCGCACAGGAACTTCAGCCTCTGGGCTCGCTTGTGCATGAAGACGCCGTCCAGGTGGCCCGTCTCCACGGAGCGGATCTCGATGGCCTTCTCACCCCAGCCCATGATCTGGTTGGAGCAGATGTGGGCTGTGGAGGAAGGGGGGCAGGGTGAGCAGGGAGCGGAAAGCCGTGGGGTCACGGCGGGTCAGGCTGAGGTCCGCGGCGGTTGCCCCTCCCCTCTTACCCACGGAAGTGGGCATCTCGCCCCACTGCAGCACCACGTCCTTGATGATGCGCCCGTAGGTGTTCACATAGACGCCCTCGTCTTCGTAGCACAGCAGCATCTCCATGCCATCTGAGTTTGGCAGGAACACGATGGCATGGGGAACCACCTGGCTCTGGATCTGCACGTGAGCAGCAGGGGGCACCCTGGTCAGGACGCTGATATGAACCCCACCAGCAGGGGGAGCTCTACTCTTTTTGACCCAGAAGCCACATTATACAAGGAAAAAAAAAACATACATGCACCGGGATGTAGATATCGTAGTTGTTCCCAGAGTCGACGTCAACGGCGTGAAAACCTGAACTGGAGCCATAGATGACCTTTAACCTTTGACCTTCTTCCACTGTCAGGTCAACCAATTGGGGTTTGTGCGGCAGGTCGCCAAAGGACTGAGAAGGGGGAAGATATTTAAAAAAATAAAAAAAAACAAAAAAACATTAAAACTGGTAAAGGCAGGCAGGGCTGCCGGGCCGGTAAACACTCCTGTCAGTTAATGAGACGCCACGACGCTAACGAGCCATGGTGGAACCGAGGACGCACAGCGGCATTTAATTAAAGGAGGAAGGAACAGATTTAAATTTGGGAAGAGAGCAAACCCACAGCAGGAGGGATCCTGAAGCACCCCACCCAAAAAGCCAGCCACACGCAGAGAGCTGATGGGAAAATCCGTGGAGAAAACCCGAAGCAAGGAAAACAGGGGTGGGAAGAAAGGAGGAGCAGAAAGGAGGAGCAGAAAGGAGGAGCAGAAAGGAGGAGCAGGCCGCTCACCTTGAAGGCCATGAACTTGTGGTAGGGCTTGGGTGCCCAGGCGTAGACCTCCACAGAATTCTTTAGGGCAATCACCAGGAACTTGATGCGCTCGTACTTCACTGCAAGCGGAGTGCAGGGGACACACTTACTCTCCCATGTGATTACAGGAGAGCCAATCAGTGGGCAGGAAAATGAGAGGCACTGAGCCAACCCGCTGGGCCCACCCTACCATCAGATGGAGGTGGGAAGAGGAAGCGGTATCACCTTTCTAACAACGCGGTTACCCTGCACTCACTCACCCACTTTGTAGTGCACACAGCCCTCCATCTCGCCCACGGTGGTCCAGCCCTGCTTCTTCTCCACCTCGGGGTCGTTGTGGAGGATCTTGTTCCGCAGCCAGGCCAAGTAGTAAACGCGAACCTTGTTCTTCTTGCCTATAAGGAAGAAAGAAGTTTGTTCAGGATCACGCTCCTGCTGTGGGCTGGTACTGAGAGACATGCAGGAGCCCCGCAACACCCTTCGCTGCTGCTCATATTTGGCAGCCATTTTCAGCCTCAAATCTGCACCCATGGGAGTTATACATACACAGGAATGTCCTGAGGGCAGAATGAAAAATGATTGGTTCAGAGAGATAACCAATCAGATTGTGGAGGGGGGCGGGTCTAAGCAACTAGAGGAGGTGGGAATAACCAATCAAACGTCTTGGTCCTGCCTCCTCTAGTTGCTTGGACCCACTGCCTCCACAATCTGATTGGCTCTCTCTCTGAACCAATCATTTTTGTTCTGCCCTCAGAACATTTTTGTGCAAGTAAAACTCCCAGAAGCCTACTCTGCAAGCCAAGATTTGCGCACAAGAGTTGGTCGGCGTTAAGCTATCCTATCGTGCGCTTTCAGACGGCATATCGCTCCATCACAAAATCAAGTCTGACTGAAACACGACTGAGGAAGCAAGGGTCTGTCAGAGAGAGGAAAAGGATACAGCTACGTGCTAAAGGGAGCACCTGAGATGGTGATGAGCAGGTTGAGGCCTTCCAGCACGTCCATCTGCTGGAAGCGCCGGGAGTTGATGAGGGGGTAGACCTTCCCCTGGCCACTCCGGTCCAGCAGCTTCAGCCCGTTCTCTGTGCCCACGAGAAGGTTCACCCCTGCACAGCCAGAGGGGAGAAAACAGTCAATTATCTTCAGGGGCTACTCTGATCCTTCAGAGGCCCATCTGGACTCTGCAGGTCCTGCAGAACTGTTAAGTTTAGGGCCAGGAAGTACAAATCCTGACCGAGATTTTGCTTCAACCAGCTAGTTAAGCACTAACGACTATTTTTCTATGGGTTCGTCTATTATCTATTACTAATCTAAACGATTAATTTTCCTCCAGAAAATTAGAAAAATAAATTGACCATTTAATTTAAGGTAATTTTATTTTGACAAACCACACGTTGTTGCAGGGCTTTAGATAACGGACGGCGGCTTTTCGACACTATATGGACATTATTTTCACCCACGATTTGATAAGCAGATAGTCTAAAATAGTAGTGTAATGTTTAAATTATGATCACTATATAATATTTCAGTGATATTACAATGAAAACGTGTTAAAATAAACTGAAGCATTTTAGAAATCATAAAGATAATTATATCAAAATAAGTCAATTTAAAATATCGATGTCGATCCATTTTCAGCGTCAACGTTTTCGACACTCATCGACTAAATCGCAGCGGCCCTAGTACTCTGTAACTGTGACTCTTTATGCTCGACTGGTTGGTTGAAACAAAAACTAGGTCTGGATTTGTACTCCCTGGACCTGGACTCTCCGAGTGCGTGACAAAGGACCCACCCCAGAGCGCAGCACACAGGATCTCCGAGTTGAACCTCTTCTTGTACTTGCGGATCTCGGGGGTGTCGTTGGGGGGCCTGGTGTTCGTTGGGTTGACGTTCACCATCGAGCCTTTCCTCACCTCCATCTTGAGCTGCTCGAACCGGGGGCCGAGGCCTGTGGAGTCAGCACAACATCATCTGAGACAGCCGCCAACAGACAGACGGGTGGCAGTGGGGGGGCAGGTGGAGTCTGTTCAGACGGAGGGGAAAATGGACGAGGTCTCCAGCCTGACCGTAACAAAAACGACCGGCAGATTGTAGCCAAAAAAGGACCTTATTGTTTAAATAATCTGATAAACTTTTAAGTTTATGTGTTTCTGTGTCCTCAATTTCGTTTTAGTTTTTACCCAAGTGATAGATCTACCACAGATGCAGACAGCTGATGACCCACCTTGCTGAAAGGCAGCATCTCCTCCCCCCCCTGGCGGCTGGTACATCCCAAGATCCACGAAGGTGGTGAAGGACGATTTGCCGGAAGCTTTGACCAATCCCTTGGACTGATACTAAAAGGTGACATGAGGATCCATACATGTGACTGGGGAGGTACCATTTGTCCAAAGGAAAGGGGGGGGGGTGGTGAACTGAGTGACTTTACCTAAAGGCTAATCTGTAAATGTGTGAGACTCACATTGTAGGCCGGGTCCTTCCCAGGGGAGGAGTTGGAGGCAGTTTCTGTGGGAGAGTGAGATGGCTGCACCACATCTGGCAGGTTGGTGTAGCCATTGTGGCTGCGCTTCTCTGGGGTCTGAGTGAGAGAGAGCACAAGCTGATAACCCACAGCCAGGACAGCGCATTTTAAACCCGACCTCATACCCTAAACCCTAAGTACTGGAGCATTAGCACTTCTTTCCATGGGTGCCTCTCTCTCCCTTCCCATAATCCTCTGCTGCTGTGACCTGGGGTTATTTCACGGAGGCTTTCAGAAGGCAGCACACTCACCCGCTGAACCAGCAGGGTCTGGTCCCCATACCCTCCGGCCTGCTGCACCTCCTCCTCTTCGCCCACCTCCTCGTGGACTACCATGGTGCTCACGGAGTCGGCGTCGGCGTCCCGCGGCCTGGGGGAGGAGCAGATAGGGATACGGTTCAGGTGGGAGGAGCCTCGAGGTGACCCGCCACAGGGCGGCACCCCCCCTCACCGCTCCGTGGGGCTCTCCTCCTCTGGGCCCTCCCCGCTCTCGCTCTCCTCGCTGCTCTCGCTGCTGTCTGAAGATGACGAGTAGTCATTAGCTTTGGCTGGGGGCCGGGGGGGCTCCTCCAGGCGCTCCTTAGGGTACAGGCCATGGTCCTGGGTGGTGGGGGGGTAATGGATACATGGCGGTAAACAGATCTGGTTATGGCTATGGTTAGGGCTGGATATGCAGACAAACCACTGAGGACCAAATAGGAAAACAAACACTTAAAGGGCACTAAACGACAGCGAGAGGAAGCCGGGCAGGAACTGACCTCTCCTATAGCCCTCTTATAACTCTGTGCCATAGGGAAGCATGGTGGAGGAAGAGGGAGGAAAGGAAGGAGAGGGAAAAACGAGGGAATTAGTGCAGGCAGCACTGAGCGATCAGAGCAAAGGGCGCCTGTTTAATCCGAGAGAGAATGAGCAGGAGAGATTCGAACATGAAAAAGGCTCCAGAGCAGACAGAGACTTCCATTGGGGAGGGGGGGGGCATTTGGATACTCACGGCCGGGCGGCTGGGGCGGGACGAGGTCCGTGACTCCCCGGGCTTATGGCGCCCCTCCTGGGGCAGGATGGGGGACGAGTCCATCTTCGCCGAAGCTGAAAGAGACGGCGGTGTTAGACGACCCTGCTTGGACGAATTGGCAGACGCTCACGCCGCTGAGCGGGTAGGGGAGGGGGGCACTGACCCGGCATGCGGTGCCTCTCCAGGGAGCCGGTCTGCGGCAGGTTGCCCGCGCCACCCAGGCCCTCGCCCCGCTCCCAGCGATCGTTACGGCTCAGGTCCGGATTGCTGAAACGAGAACTGACCTCATTTCCATGTTTCTCATTTGAATTTCCTATATGGGCAGATGGGGAAGCTCACAGATGGGGAAGCTCACAGACCTGGCTCTGATGGGGTGTCTGATCCCAGAGGACAGATTGGCATTCAGAGCTGTGGCGATGGAGGTCGTCCTCTGAGGCACCTGGGGTGACGGGCGAGGCAGTAATCAGGCTTCAGCCAGAGCCAGACTCAAGCTAATCTGGAATCAGTGCTCACTCTTACGTTACATCACACAATCCCCTGATAGAGTCAGTGGGAAATTTCTAGAAGCTTATTTCCTACAGACACTGTTAATTGCTAAAGAGAACTGGGCTGGGATGCTTTTAGCCCATGCAGGCCCAGACAGGGAAGCAGGACTAATGGGTCGAATATACAGGGCAAACCTTGGGAGGCTGCTCCGCCTCATGCAAATGTGACCACGCCCCTCGCTCATCCTTCACTGGCCGAGGCTGGGGGGCGGGACTCTCGGAGGTGGGGTCAGAGTTCTGGCGGACCAGCTCCCTGGAAGGGGTGGAGCGGGGAGCAGGGATGGGGTCCTGAGTGGGGAAGGCGGACATGGTCTTAGTGGGCTGGTCACAGAGGGACTGCGATCGAGGGACGGGGGCCGCGTACGGCTTGAGGGGAACGAGGTGGGCCATCTGGAACTGATCATAGGGGGTGGGGCAGGGGTGCAAAGATGGGCGGGGCAAATGAGTCACCAGGATTGGTATTGGACGGCACGGCAACAGGACAGGTGGGTAGCCCAATCAAGTGGAAGGACGAGTGAGGAAGTCCAATCAGGAAAAGATGAGAATCATAAAGGGGAGGATTAGGGGTGTAGAAAAAGTACAGTGTTAATTCAGGGTGGGGGGCAGGAATGGCAATGACCAGGGCAGAAAGAAAGGGAAAGAGAAGAAAATGGGAGAAAGTGAATGTTAGTAATGATATTAAAGAGATAAATGTGCTTCATTCAGTTCCTAACCCCCCCCACCCCCAAACTGAAGTGTCAGGGCGGCCCTGCTGATTGGAGGGTGACCCCCACCCCCCAAACACTGAAGTCCTAGTGCATTCAGGCAGCAGAGGAAATACAAGCCTCAAAGCGACCCGCACCCCCCCCCCGGCACACCTTTCCCTGGCCGCCCAGGGGTTCGACGGGCCGCTGCATGGGCGGGGTCTGAGCAGCCTGGGCGGCGCCCGATTGGCTGACGGAGTCCGACCGCGACTGGATGGCCGTGTCGGAGACGGTGGTGCAGATCTTGGGGGAGCCCTGCCTGTTCAGCTTGCTGCGCTCCTCCACCTGGGGGTGGGGGTGGGGGGGGACAACTCAGACACCTGGGACACCGTGTACGAAGCGAAGGGAGGGGATTAAGAACGGAACAGAGAGTCCGCCGGGGACGTGATGACAGTGACACGAACGGGGCCAGGCTGCCCGGGTTCAAGTGGAGGGGGGGCGGTACCTCTCGCGCCCAGGCCGGCTTGCTGCTCGGCTCCAGGTTCTTGCTGTAGTGGTACAGCTGCGGTTTCTTCTCCTGCTGTTGCTGCTGCTGCTGCTGCTGTTGCTGCTGCAGTGACACCAGGTACGCATGTTCCTGCTGCAGCTGCCTCTGCAGCCGCTCCGACTGCCGCTGCTCCTCCAGCTGCTTGCGCTTGTACTCCTGCGATGGGGGGGGGGGGGCATATTTACATACGGATTAGCAGACGGCACAATGCAGCTTAAAGCTTCCGACTGTTCTCGGATCAGATTTATTCAAGGCAGGACACAGATGGCATCACGCAGACATCCCGTGATTCTCCCGAGGTGATCGCAGTCATGTGGGGCAGAACCATCACCCAAAGGTAAATGATGTCACATCAGCTGACAACAGATAGATGATGCGGGTGGACACCCCCTCCTCCCCCAGAAATGTTGAATCCTGTTCTGTTATTCTTGATCTGATGTCACACCACCAGGAAGTAAATGACTGACGACCTGCAACCAATCAGTGTCCTCGCTGACCCACCCTCTTTTCATGTAACCAATCACAAGCCGATATCCAGGAGGGTTAAATATTCATTGGATGGACAATAACATTCCCGCCTTCAGATACACGATCCATGGGCCCCGAGACCCAGCTTGACTGAGCCAGTCATGTGACATTATGGGATGGGAAGGGGGGGAACCAGCATTACCATGAGCAGGGCCTGTTCCTGGAGCAGCTGCTGCTGGAGGATTTCTAGTTGTCGCTGTTCCTCCTCTAACTTCTGTCTTATGAACTCCTGAGGGGAAGGTAAATAAGGGAGAGGAGAGAGGGCACAGTTCCTCAACACAGGCAGCACAAATCAGCGCTAATCTGTGAGCATTAATTTATGCTTTATGCACTACTCAGCATGACCACTAGGGTACCAGGAGCACCACGGATAAGCAGCAGTAAGAAAAAGCAGCACAGCCAGCTATGAAACTGCTTCATCAACCTGCCACCATGGCAACTACTCCACAAGCATTCCGCCACCCTCCATCTCAGGACGGCTCGCGATTGGCCAGGAGGCTGCGGACGTGTCGCCTCATTGGCCGCAGCCCGGCACGCCCACCAGAGCCGCACCAATCGGCTCACCTGCTCCCTCTCGGCCAGCCTGCGGTCCTCCTCCCTGCGCATCTCCTCCAGTCGGCGATGGCCCTTCTCCTGCTGCCGCACCATCTCTCGCTCCTTGCGCTGTTGCTGAGAGAACACGGGAAGGATTGAGGGAGGGAGAGAGGAGAGTAGAGAGGGGAGCCCCCCCCCACACCCCCCATTGCTGAGCAATGCATTACATTGGCCTAACTGCAATCCACCACAAAATTCACCCCTTCCGTAACAGCTCACCGACCCACACACCAGTCAGGTCATTCTGTAGCGCCCCCTTCAGGGCTTCCAGAATAATGACACTTATTGCACAAGACAACAAGGCCGAACTGGTGTGCCTTCCTTTCTTCATGCAAGCCAGCCTGACCCCGCTGCCTCACGCCCTGTGCCGCAGGGGTACCTCCTCCAGGCGGCGCCGCTGCTCCTTCTGCTCCTCGATGCGTTTCTGCCGGTCATGCAGCAGCTGCCGTTTATGCTCCTCCGGGTCGCGCCGCTGGGCGGCCAGCTGGGCCTGCTGCCGCTTCAGCGCCTCCGAGCGCTCCTTGTTCTCCTGCTGCAGCCGCAGGAAGTCCCGCCTCAGGGTGGACTCGCCCGGGACGTTCAGGATGGAGCTGTAGGAGGTGAAGGCGAGCAGAGGCCCGGCAGGGGTGGTCAAGCTAACGGTAATGGACCAGGTGAGGGAGGACCTAACGCTAACAGGCCAGACGTGAGACTGCCAAAGGCACTAATGCTAACGGGGAAAACATAAGAGGTTAACAGGGCAGGCAGAAGAGGCTGGTGGTCTTGCTAACACTAATGCAGGTGGGCCAGATGCGGGAAGCACTAACGTTAATGGGCTGGATGCGGGAGGCTGCCGACGGCACCAACGTCAATGGGGCAGACGGGCGAGGCTGCCGAAGGCGCTACCATTAACAGGGTGGATGCAGGGAGGCGCCAATGCTAATGAGGTGGATGTGACGGGCATTGATATTAAGAGTGTTGACACGAAAGGAGCTAATGCTAATAAAGCAGTAATGCTGATACAAGAGGTCGCCGATAGCGCTAATGCTAACATAACGGGGTCGACACAGTTATGGGCCCAGTGACGCTAATGGGGCGGACGCAAGAGGCGGCAGCACTAACAGTACAGACATGACAGGCTGCCTGCATTGCTAATGCTAACGAGGCGGACGCGAGAGGCTACCAGTGGTACTAATGCTAACGAGGCGGACGCGAGAGGCTACCAGTGGTGCTAATGCTAACGA